TAATTACAATTTTTGTCATGAACAGGACTTTGTAGAAGTTTAGACTTAATTCATTCCATGGATAGACGAGGCAACATAATTCCAGATCATTCTGTCTAATGACAAGTAGTCTCTTCAGAAGTTATCTTTTCTTATTGCTTTTTATTGATTTCAGTTAAGAAAACTGCAATTAATCACTGAATTGGTTTTCTGGCTTTTTTGTTGTGATGGTGGTGGTGGTAGTTACATGAGAAAGGGCTGCACATCCCCATGGAAAGAAATCAGCAGCAGCAATTTCTTAATTATATATATTTTTTTCCTTGGGAAAATTCTTTGTTGAATAAGGTGTAGTAATGAGTAAACAGGGGAATACTGCGTAATTCTTGCACAACACAGTAACACAGCAAGATGGAACTTCTGCTTTAATCCTAGTTCTTGCAAAGAAAAGCATACCGCAGCAGTACTTCAGATCTACTTTTGAAGTGCCCAGTGTTACACACTAATATGAGCCTCTTTATCTATTAAGAGGTCTTTTGTAATAGTTCTTATGAAATCATCACATTCAAATACATTCCTTTCCCTTCTGCATCATGCCAAATTATTTCATTGCTATAATTGTGCCTACAAAAATGACACTATTTAGAAACAGGAAAGGAGTATAAAAAACCCACATTTGTTGTTACAAGAGAAATTCCTCGCTCCCCCCCCCCCCCCCGCCAGCTGATTTTGCAAATGGTACGTCTCCTTCATGGTTGCATAGTTTCAGCTTCTCTTCTCACTACTGGAAGCAACTAGAATCTGAAATTGATTTGTATGAAATTGATTCAAACCCATCTCATCTAATCTATGGCTTTCCTATAAGCACAGTAATATCCTTTCCCAAAGTTAAGGCAATCATTATTCCTGCAAACATCTCAGACCTGCAAAAGCCATACATGGGGAGAAGAACAATAAATGCAATTGCCAAACTCTCATGTGGAGGGGAACCCACTGAGTTCATGATCTGAAATAATCAGATGTTTTTATATTTTTCATTCAAAGGAAAAACTTCAATGGATTAAATATAATCCTAATTATTTAATAGAAATCCAATCATATTTTAGGCTATTGAGTTCAATAGAAAGAATAGATGACAAATCCCCCTCCCCCCAAAAAAATTGACATATAATGTTTTGAGAAGGAAGGCAAGGGTAAAATTAACATTGTGCTTTCAGGCTTGTCAGAGTCTTGTAAGTACAATTTGGCCTTGCTATAACTTGGATGCAAAAATATTGGCTCATACAAGCTTGGCTAATTGATATCTTGGTTGTAATCAACAAACCCATGACATATTCTGTTGCCAGAATTTACTCAAAAAAATATTTTCCTTGCACATTAAGGAGTAGCATGGCCCCCATTAAAATGTAACAGGAAACGCAGAATAACAAAATTCAAGAGTTGAAAAAGACTATTTCCTGTAGATCCTCAGCACAGAAAGCATCACCAATGGTTAGCTTTCTCCACTCATGTTTAATATCTACATGACGCTGCTGGGTGAGATCATCTGTCACTGTAGGGTGAGATACCATCAGCATGCTGATGACTTCCAGTTGTGTATCTCTGCTCCTGGTGAGTTAAGTGATATTGTTGATATCCTTTCTCAGTACCTGGAGATCATGGGAGTCTGGATGGGGAACAACAGGTTTCAAATATTCCTTGGCAAGAGGAGAGTCTTGGGGGGCTTTCTCTATGTGGGGATTTACCATCTCTGATCTTGGATGTAATTGCATTACCGCAAGCAGACCCAGTGTGCAATTTGGAACTTCTTTTGGACTTGTAACTCCTGCTCAAAGAGCAGGTAGAAGTCATGGTGAAAAAAGCCTTTGCACAGCTTCATGTTGTCTGCCAATTGCACCTATTTTTTGATTGGGAGGTTCTATTCACAGTCACCTCATAGATAGACTACTGTAACACAATCTACAGGCAGCTACCCTTGAAGAGTATCCAGAAGCTTCAGCTGGTACAAAATGTGACGATGTGGACAGTTATGTGTGCTTCAAGAACTGCATGCATTACACCTTTGCTTTGCAAGCTGCATTGCTTGATACTTTGCTTCTGGGTCCAATTAAATGCCCTGGTTTTAAAGCCATGCACGGCATGGGATCAAGTCATTTGAGGGACTGCCTCTTCCCAGTAACATCTACCCACCCCATCACGTCTGGCAGAATAGCCAAGTTGCAGATCCTATCATCAGGAATTTTATTTGGTGGGTCCTAGGATAAAAACTTTTTTTAATGTAGTCCTAGCTGTGTGGAACATCTCTGCCCCTTCCTATCCACCCACCCTCGTAAGGAAAGGCAGCTGTTGGCCTTCCAGAAGGCCATCAAATCATGATTTTGTCAATGATCTTTTTATTATTATTATTATTAATTTTATTTCTATACCACCCTTCTCCCAAAGGACTCAGGGTGGTGTACAGCCTAATTAAAAACACAAAGACAGACAAAATTTAAAAATAATTAAAATTATTAAATAGGCCCAATTTATAAAACCCCAAATTTAAAATCCCATTTAAAACCAATTAAAATCTTTACATTGATAGCCCAGCCTGGCGGATCTTGGTGATCCCATAAGGATGATTATGTGATTGTTAACTTTTTGATACATTTTCTGCATGCTAGTTGCCATTTAGTTTATTCTTATTTTTAAATTGTGGTTTTAATGGTGTTTATGTTTTTCATGTTTATGTATTTTATTTCATTTTAGTATGTATGCTGCCAAAGTCATTATGTGAGAGAGATGGACAGATGGATAGATAGATAGATAGATAGATAGATAGATAGATAGATAGATAGAGTTTCCCACTTTTGCTTGAGTGAAGAGTACATATATTTAACTATCTCTTGGTAGACGGAGAACAAGTCTTAGGCATCTTCTGTCTGATATAATTTCATATAGTTAGAGTTCAAGAGTTCACCTGCCTCCTTCAAACTGTTTTCATATGACTTAGCTTCCAGTCCTTACTGTCCTCTTCTGTCCCATTTCATTTTTTTAATAAACTCTGTTTAACATGATGTGGCTTAGAGCAGGACATAATACTTGATTGGGGGGGGGGATTGTCTAATCAATCCAGGATAAAGTGAAGCTATTCAGATGATTAGGCAATTGCGCTTCATTTCAGGTACAACCTACAACTGCACTTGCTTTTTGTGGCAGCCATGAAATACTGATGAGTCATATTCAGTTTATGTTCAATTACTGTTCTGAGAACATTTCCCCTCATTTTACACATGTGCATTTTATTTCTTTTTCCTAAGAAAAGAAATTATTTTGTCTAGCTACTTTAGCCTAGCATGATGTTTCCTTTTAAGGTTCTTTTGGTCTTTAGAATATTAATTACCTTACCTGATTTTTCTGACATCTGCAAAAGTAATAAGTATTCACTATAAGTATATAATGTCTCACAATTACAGTATATGTAATTGTGAGACATTGCAAGATGTTTCAGATTTAAACTTTCTCAAGTTCAAAACACACTGCTTTGAATCTGAAACACCGTTTCAAACTTGAAATGGACTACTTTTGACTATTTTTGGAGCTGTTTCAGTTGAGGTGTTGCTAAGATTAAAGCAGATGCCAGAATGAATAAAGCACACTTTTGTTTTGCACACAAAAGGGACATTTTAAACTAGAAATTGGTTGTTCAAAATTTGAAATGGTTCCAATTCAAAATGTTTTGCACACCTCTACTGCCTCTTGTATTGCAGAAGTTGTACTGATATACTATTGTGTAGAAAGAGGAAATGCATATATTGAAAAGTTGCACAAATGATTTGCAAGATGGTATTATTAACTATAATGCACTGAGATGAAATCAGATAAATATCTTGGTGAAAAAATAGCTACACTGTATATATAAAACATTTTACAAAACCTGGCTACTTAATATAATTAAATCTATATTAAAGCCTTTATTGAAATAGGTGATTACCCTAAGTTATTTAAGGGTCATTTTTTAATGGATTTAAATTTTTGTAAACTGATGAAGATTTTTTTTCAATACTTTATCTGAGAAACCAGGTCACCTTAGCTTCAATCCCTCTCCCCCCCACAAAATTCTATGCAAACTTTCTTCCCCTTAAGATTTAATAATGAATGGGAACTCAACATAGACCAGCAAGAAGTTAGGGAAGACAAGAGAAGGCCAATGGTGTAGCAGAGTCTATTCCAACCTCCAAAAGGCCAAGCAGAGCAGCAATGATGAAACTCCCCCTTCTGGAACTGCCTGTACAGCTATATAGTTGCTTCCAAGGTAATTTACCCTTGCATATCATTTATACACTCTTTGGGGAAAGATGCTTATATCTGATGAAGCTAATTGAATTTTCTGAAATTAAATCAATAGCATTTTTAAATGATATGACCAAAGTAGACTAGGAAGCTTTTGCCAGAGAGAGATAAAACGGAATTTAATGCACATGTCATAATCTAATTCTCAAAACAGAACACCAAGATGTATAGATATATTGCAAAATTGCCTCTGATGAATGATTCTTTGTGGTCCAAAATTTATTAGTCAATTCCATTCTTCACTCCAGCTCAGCATCATCAAAGCAATAAGGCAAACTATACTGCAAGCTCAGTTTTGAGAGAGCCAGGGGCCTGATGGCTATGTGACTCATGTTAGAATTAGAAAACACAACAGCATTTTAAACATTGCACACTCCTGGGGCTTGACCAGTATAGAAACCCATGAAAAATTGCTTTGCAGATGTTTCTTTAACACTGCTATTTATGTTTTGCAGGTGTAATCTCAGATCATATCAAAGTGCCTTTCTCCAAGTGAATTAGGCCCCATGGTATACTCAGTTCTCATTTGTGTATTCAGTTGTAAGCCTCTGCTGCTCTCCTTGAATTGTTCCACTTACTGTTTTACACAAGCAGTCAGAGCAACTTTACCCTTATGTTCCTTTGATCACATGCCTGTATAAAATGCTGGGAAGATGATAATCTAATAACAAAGTGAAAAGATACAAGAACGCTGTTGGAGAACGGATTGGTAAGGAAGGAAGAGTCCCTTTCAAAGAGGCGAGTCAAGGTTAGGTTTGCAATATTTAAATAATATACAACTTCATTGATTTTTATCTTTTCATCAATAATCAACATTAAAAAAATTAGCAATGCCAAATAAACTCCGTTTCTAAGGCCAACTTCTACAGGAGGCTGATTTTCCTACTGTCCATCCCCAAGGAAACTGTTAAGTTGATATGATTTGCAGAAAGCCTCATCATATTCCATTTATGTTGGAGGAAACCTCTGTTCCACAGGACAAATACAGGTCCAAAGTTGTCTCTATTAGGAATACTCCCTTTTTAGAGTGTAGTCACAGCCCAGGGGGCATTTACTTCCAGATCCATAGCTACACAGGAGGGGAAAGGTTAACTGCTTATTTACTGAATTCTGTTGAATCCTTGAAAAATCAGGTGCAAATATGATCACTATTAACAGATCAAGCTTTTAAAAATGTCTCTATTAGCCATAAAAGAGGCATTATATAGCTCTGGAGGCATTTTCAGCAAGGAAGCGTATATTTATCTGTGTGAAAGAGAGAGCACCTGAATGAATGAACAGCTTGTGTGGCATTAGGAAAGCATGTCGGGAGCTACATGCCCACAGTGGGTAACCCCAGTTGCTGATGGCTTGCATAAGGTATTCTTGTTTCAAGCCAACTTGACCCTGGGTTTAAAATAGTTTTCCCATATTAATCTGGTAATACTTTTGGTTTCTCCTCTTGTCTTTAATAGACTATCCCATGTTTTCCTTCTATTTCTCTGCTTTTTCTCCATTCTAAATGCATTATAAAAGACACATGTACAATTTCACTGATTTCTGCTTCTTTTTCATAGCTCTCTGCATTTGGCTTATTGGATGATATCAAGCAGGGAGAATATTATTCTATTTCAAAGCATGCAATGGAGAACATATATTCTAACAATCTTCAAAAGAACATGTTGCTGCTTCTTTTAAATTCTCTGCTAGGTGGGTAATTTATGACTACATACTGTGGCATAAGAGGCCAAAGTGCACCTACTATCAGTATTATAGAAATAGCAATTTATTTCAATCTGTCTTACTTTTTGAGAGATATTTCAAAGGTTTTTTTTCCCTCTCAAATTTATCAATTCTTGATTTTAGGCTTGGATATCAAAGCCAAAGATGATAGAATTCAATTGCTAATAGCAGCCTGTCTAATCCATCACTTTGTTTTCTTTTTTTTAAAAAAATCTAGAATCTGCCATGGGAGGTCTGATTATACCTGCTATGTATTCCAGTGGCTAGTTGGAACAGAAAATGGGGCCGGAAGATACAACCATAAACAATCCAGTGAAAGAAGTCCCAGTATCTATCACCTACTTCATAGCAGCTGATTGGGAAAGCAAATTGCAGCATTCCTCGGATTCTGATTTCCAAATATTCTCAAAATAAAGGAAATTACCTAACTAACCTTTGGTTACAGTAGTATCAATAGCAAACCTTGGTTAACAGCACCACATAAATGCCATGACTTATTTGCACAGAAACATGTGATGCAAACATCTTGATCTTGGTATTTGTGCATTAGTATGTGATGTTGGGATGAGGTGGCTCAGTGGCTACGATGCTGAGCTTGTCAATCAGAAAGGCTGGCAGTTTGGCAGTTCGAATTCCTAGTGCCGCATAACAGAGTGAGCTCCCATTACTTGTCCCAGCTTCTGCCAACCTAGCAGTTCGAAAGCACGTAAAAAATGCAAGTAGAAAAATAGGGACCACCTTTGATGGGAAGGTAACAGCGTTCTGTGCGCCTTTGGCATTTAGTCATGCCAGCCACATGACCACGGAGACGTCTTTGGACAGTGCTGGCACTTTGGCTTTGAAACGGAGATGAGCACTGCCCCCTAGAGTCAGGAACAACTAGCACATATGTGCGAGGGGAACCTTTACCTTTACCTATGTGAAGTCATCACATGTTTTATGATGTGTGTGTCAGCCCCATGCAATTTGCCTTTCTTTGTCACAACCCTCTGGCTATTTGAAATTCTAACTCTATGCTAGCTCATTACACCATTACTGTTAACATCATGACATTTTCATTCCAATGTAAATTGACCCAAACCCTTACTGATATCAACTTTTGATTACCCAAATATGTTTTTAATGTGCTCCAAGTTATTTTGGATAAGTGATGCAGCACACTATCTGAAAGAAGAATTCACACTTGTTCCTCTTCTGGTAGGAACTGAATGTAACCATGGCAACTACTGGCAAGCACTGTCGTTTTCCCTCGGATTACTTTTTGGATATTACATTGCATCATCAGAGTAGTTATTAAATGTTGATAAGAAATTTAGGGCTAACAAGTGCTGTTCTCTCCCTTCCCTTTTCCTTAATCATCTAAATGAAATATCTAGGAAAAAAATACACCCATGATGTCCACTGCATTAATAGGATATATCAATGCATCAAAAGTTAGATGTTAGCTCTGAGAAGGAAAGAGGCAGGTATATGGAGTAGGGTGAACACAAAGCTATGAGTGACTCACAGTATGAAGGTACAAAAATCATATGCAGCTAATAGCAACTAGGGGCACACAATCCAGAGAGGGCCCAGCAGTTGCCTCTCGTTCACTTTGTAATGTTTTGAGGTTCAGAAATGAGATAGGGAAGGTTGTTATTTACCAGAACGTATAAATATTGTATAATCATCAAGCTTCAGATGTTTTATTTTGTTAGCTTTTTAGGACATGGCAAATGGGAACTGAAGGACTACAAAAAGAATCTGAGTAACAGAAAATGAAACAGTCAGTTCCACTACAATTTCCACTCACACTTTTGTGGCTATTTGCTAATTCAGAACTGTAAATAAATTATACATCTGCTTTAGGATAAGACTTGAAGCAAATAAGAGTATCAAAGTGCAAGTTCATGAGGGGCAAGTGTCATTTCACTTCCATGTCACTCATCCTCTTGTGGGAGAAAACTGGTAAGAGTTGCTTGCTGCTTCAAAACTTTCTGCATGAATCAGTCCTATAATGAGCAGAAAAATCCATTTCTTTGGCTGTCACCATTTAGCAATTCCTTAGAGTATGTGTAGATTTCATGATTTCAAGCACTGCCTAGGAGGCTCTGCTGAAAACCCTTTTAAAGAACTTGGGATCTATTATTTCAAGCCTAAGCAATGTTGTGATAGACCATCACTCACACACTGTGGCAGCTTGGATGGGTGGAGGAAAGAGAATTATCTGTACTTAGCTGAATTGAATGAGAGCTTGCCTGAGCTCCTGTAGTTACAGAAACCAAGAAAGCTCAGAAATGGAATTGATTGTTCTTAACTTGCTGCAATTATCCCAATTTCATATGTACCTAGCTTTAAAAGAAATTGGTAAAGTGCAAATAGTCGCTGTGAAACCTACAGATTAGTGGCAAATGGAGATACTTTGGAAACTAAGAACTTGGGTGAGTAGAATACAAATTAAACTTAAGTTTCATGTGCCATTTGCTCAGGATTCTTACTTACTGATACCACCTCATAGATCCATATCTATGGGTATTGGGGTGAGGATGGAAAAACCGTTTTTGGAAAGACCAATTTTTAAACAGAGAGTTTGCTCTGTCTATCATTCCTAATCTGGGAATCATATTCTGTATTATGTATGTATGTTTGGTAGAACTCCTTCAAACATGTTCCCATAAGTATAACATTTGCAACCAGGCAGATTCCAGCAAGCCAAAAAATTTGCCTAAACAGATTTCCAGGATTTATATATAGTAAAATATCTTTATTGGTATTGGATTTTTTTCTTTTATTTTTAATAAACATTATCAAGTAACCAAATTAACATTAATCCAAGACAGATAGAAAAAGATAGAAAATACAAAAATATCTACTAAAAAGTAAGTAAACAGACAGGTGCATCCCACATTGTGTACCCAGCTGTCTAGAGGGCCTTTGGGGCATCAATACTAAATGCATTAGGGAGGAATATGAAAGAAACATCTCTTAGCTCCCTTACATTAATTTTTAAAATCGAATTGAATCTGGAAATGACCAATAAATAGGCCCAAAAATCTCAAGAAAGGGACATTCCCATCATTCATTTACCGATCAGTAGGAAACCAGAGTTTCAATGTTAGTGGGAGGATGACTAAACAGTATACATTCATAAAACCAGTCTCTATTTCCTTCTCTAAAACATATGCTTTTTCTCTGTAAAATAAATGTGGTATAAAACCACAATCTTCTGATGATAGAGATTTTGAAAAATATGTTTGAGTATTTCCTTCCTTCCTTCCTTCCTTCCTTCCTTCCTTCCTTCCCTTCCTCCCTCCCTCCCTCCCTCCATGTCATGTTTTAAATTTCATTACCTTATTCTTTTGTACTTCTTTTCATTGCTTTATACAATCTTGTTTCCTTTGAAAACAAAAAGAAGAATGACTATGTAATTATCTATGTGTGTATGTATTTCTCAAAACTACAATATTCTAAGGCAGAGATGGCTAACCTTTTTGCCGTCGCGTGCCAAAAGCAGGGGGAGCATGGGAAGGTTACGTGCGCGTGTGCCCACACCCGTAATTCAATATGCCCCATCCCCCCGTGCATGCGCACGGGACACACACCCCTGCGCTTCCCCCACTTTTGGCAGGAGATAGCACGGTAGGCCTGTTTCTCACCCTCCTCAGGCTCCAGAGGCTTTCTAGGAGCCTGGGGAGAGAGAAAACAGCCTCCCCCCTGCCACCGGAGGCCAGAAACAGCCTGTTTTCCAACTTCTGGTGGGCCCGGAAGGCTCAAAAATCAGCTGGAGTTGAGCTAGGGCAATGCTTGTATGCCCACCGATATGGCTACACATGCCACCTGTGGCACACATGCCACAGGTTTGCCATCACGGTTCTAAGGCATTCTTTCCCAACTTGGGATGTTATACATATGTTAGATTACATATTTCATCACTACCTATGCTGGCTGGATTGCAATTCAACAAATCTGGAAGACTGGATTAAAGGGTGGATCATTTGGTTGTTATTCAAATTTGAGAATTTTCAGGTGTGCTTTCCAGCAACTAAAAGCAGCTCAGGTAAGACTCCTCCCTCCTCCTATTTTCACTACAACTGGTGAAAATAGGTTGGGCTGTGAAATAGATTGGGCAAAGAGACAGTGACTAGCCTAAGGCACCCAGCCGGCATTCACGCCAGGCCAAGACTAGAATTCACAATATTCCCAGTTTCCACACTAGCACCTTAACCTCCACACCAAACTGGCTCTCAATGTCTTCCCAACAATCAAAAGATGTTATTCAGAAATGCTCTACAATCTATATATTACAGATCAAGAACATACACTTTTCATAGTGATATATTTGTTAACACACATATATATGCAAGATGGTACTAAATTAACAGACGCTATCCATATGTGAAGTGGTTCATTGAAACTAATAGAAAAAAAGAGAAAGAGGAGCTGAATGCATCCATTCAATGTTAGCAGCTCATTCTGCATGTAAATCTGCTAATGTGTTTCTTCTGGAGCTGGTGGGCTGCATAAAAACACATGCCATAAGTCTTCCTTTGCTCTCTCTCTCTCTCTCTTTTTTTTTTTTGTATTAAATGTTATATTAAATTCCAAAGCCCTATAGCCATTAACACCAGGTAGCACTTTCTTCAACATCAGGAGATCATTTATATTACATATCTATAGCACATGTTGAACCCAAGAGTTCTAAGCTGAGTCGCTGCTTTGCATGAAGATCATCCCAGGTTAAATCTCTGAAAGGCCTCAGCAGCAGGACTGGAGAAGATATTGGAGACTTTAGAATGTTTCTAGGCAACAAGGGATTTTTCTAGTTCTGCTCATTATTTTTATGGTAGAATACTTTGATTTAGAAAAAGTGCACTATTTTTATTTCTAACTGAATAATAAAGATGATAATTAATCAAGATAATCTATCCTTCCTACCTACCTACCTACTGTGTTTCCCTGAAAATACAACTTACTTTCTTATTTAATTAATTAATTATTTAATTATTTATTTAATTAATTAATTAATTAATTAATTAATTAATTTATATGCCGCCTCTCTCTGAAGACCCAGGGCGGCTCACAATACACTCAAAAAATCACTATAAAAACACTTAAAAATTAAAAACATTAAAGACATTAAAACCCATTCACATCATTCATGGCCGGATCTCGTCAGATCACAAAGCGAGATCAACGGTCCCAGGCCTGCCGAAAAAGCCAGGTCTTCACCGCTTTTCGGAAGGCCAATAGGGTGGGGATGGTCCGGACCTCAGGAGGTAACTGGTTCCAGAGAGCTGGGGCAGCCACAGAGAAGCTAGAAAGTAAGCCCTAGCTTGATTTTTACACGTACACCCAATATAAGCCCTACCCCCAAAATAAGCCCTAATTAAGATCCTGCCCATTCCAGGGTGCACAGGTAAAAATTAAGTTAGGGTGGGGATGGGGGGATGGAGCTGCCCACTACTTACCTTCAGACAGCTGTAGCCAGGCCTCTCACACCTCGGCCCATTTCTTCTGCAGGCAAGGCTTTCCTGAAGGCCTCTGTAGCCGATAACAGAGCTTCAGATCGATCCAGAGCTCTGTTATCAGCTGCAGAGGCCTTCAAGAAAGCCTTGCTGGCCTTGCTGGATGAAGAAGTTCCTGAAGGCCTCTGAGAGTGAAAAAGAGGCCGGGAGCGAAGTGTGCAACTGAGGTGAGTCAGTGGATGACATCCCCCCCAAAAAATAAGACCTGGTGCCTTTTTTGGTGGCAAAAAAATATAAGATAGGATCTTATTTTGGGGAAAACATGGTATCTATCTATCTATCTATCTATCTATCTATCTATCTATCTATCTATCTACCTACCTACCTACCTACCTACCTACCTACCTATCTACCTATCTATCATCTCTACCAACTTTATATGGCTACTCATCTTAAAGAAAGTGACTCTGAGTGATGTACAACCATCCAATAAAACAATGTTTCTCTTGGCTGAACCATGATATCTGTTCAATGTAAGTTAAATAGGATTTAACCGCACTTTTTCTTTTAACTTATAAGGAAAGTGATGATATTACTATTAATTCTAAAGATTTTTTAAAAAAACTATTGGACATGTCTATTAATGACGAGCTGAATTTGTATTTCGGTGCTTGCACTAAAATTACAAATTCAAGCTTTTTACTCCTTTCTGTTAAATAATATTGCTTTCCTGTTCGACTGAAAGCGAAAGTCTCAAAAAGCATTATATATTACCAAGTGTTTCCCCCTCAAATGCTACATGTTAGGCTACAGTGCATTGTGTTCTGTTTCCAAAATATAGACTCATGTCTCAAGGTGACATTTGCTACCATTTCTAGATTCTACAAAAGCAATCATAATAGTATACATTATAGTAACAGCATATATAACAATGGGCTTCAGTAAATTAAATAGTAATACCTACATTTACAGGAGCACTTTAAAATGTTCATTTCCCATATACCCAATAATCCATACAAAGACCAATCAGGCTAGTATAATTACTCCTAGTTGGACGTCAATTTGAGATAACAGCAATTTGTTGAAGGACACAGAACAATTCAAATCAAAGACAAGATTGCAATCAAAAGATTTCATGATTTGCAGCTTTCTCATAACAATTTTATTATATTAATTCTATAACATTAAATTAGTTATTTTAATATATTTAATAAAATGTCTATTAATAATAGATGAGGGATATTAACTAATACTAGTTTCATGGGGTGGGAAAGCAAATTCTAGATTGGTAAGATTTCCCAATCAGTATCTCAGCTGATACGTTTGATAGCTACACAACTTTTTCATTCTTCCAACATTATATAGAAAGGAAAAGATTAACACTTTCTTGCTATCCAGAAGTCTGGAACAGTTGTGCAGATGTATAATTTTATAGCAATCCAACAGTCTCCAGTGTGGATTTGCAAATTGCGGCAGTAAAGGTAATTATTGGAACCCTTCCTTATATTTGATTCTATTCTAATTTCCATCAGGGAGGAAGAATTAATCCTCAATTGAATACTCAAGTTCCTATATATGGGAAGGGGGAGGCTGAATTCTCAAATGGATATTTGAGTACAATTGTCTCAGAACTGCATGACCCTCAAAGGTGCTTGTATGCTAATATCCAATTAAATATGCATTTCTATTCCCCAATTAGTTATGTGCAACTGCAAAAGATAACCAAACTCCACACAGGAATGTACAGGCTAAGACAAGAAACAAAAGAATTGGTTTTGTTTAATGCTTTCCAAAATGACGTATAGACATATTCTTGCTAATCTAAATTTGCTACTCTTTCCTCTGCAAACACCCTTTGGGTTTATGTATCAAAAGCAAGGCATCAAAAGGTGCAAAATTGCACAGGCATTTGCCATATGCTCCAACACAAATACCAAACTGGGTTGCCGCTATAAAGTAGATCAGCTGAAGAATGGTTTCGCTGGGATAGGTGGACAGGAGGTGAGATGAGAAGAGGCGCCTACAAACTGAAAAGCTATTCAGAAAAGAGGATATATGGGACAATATGCTGACTAGCCACAGATATCTGAGAAGAAGGGGATGAAAGCAAAGCAGAAAACCTCCTGAAATAAAGGGATATATTTTGCACATTCCTGTTCCAGGAAGAGAAAACCTCTAGAACCAAGTGATGCTGACAGTTCTCAAGCACTTAGGGAGAACAAATGGATATAATGGTTGATCATTACAGGCAAGCACACTCCTAATCTTCCATATGTTAACAGCCTGCTATTATGAAATTCAGACTTGTTTCAAACAGACCACTTTTGAATCCCAAGATATCAGAACAGGTTCACACAAAACATTTAACTTTGATATTGTGTCTCCAGAGTTTTTATACTAAATCACAAACAAATTTAACCGCCTAACCATGCGGTTAACCCAACAAAATGAAAATAATCAATCTTAGCATCTTGTTCAAATACATCTGCTAGGAGGTTAATAACAAAAACCCCACTTACAAATACACTCAAATCATACAAGTAGCATATTCACGTAGATTTCCATTTGCTATCAGAATGCCTCAATTTTAGGAGATTTCCCAAAGAGTTCTCTTTGACAACATTAAAAAATAATTGAACAACCTCATCAGAAAGCAAATGTTTCAGCAAATCACACACTTAACAGATATGGTCTTGTTTAGAAACACATTCAGGGTGGCATCATGAGGAAAAAAATCTATCGGTCAAATGTGCAACGTATAGAAAGCATTGTTTTAAAAGGAAGCCGCATTGCATATATTTTATTTACTTATAGACAAAGATAAAACATATTTCTCAATTTTTCTCTTTGTCGTAACTCCAATACTATTGCATCTACTTCAGCAACTTGATGCTAGTCACAGAAATAAGCACGCTGCATGGGATTGCAGAG